AACAACTGATTTTTTGTTTTTTACCTTCAGGGAAATGAAAAAACTGATTGATTTTTTGCAATCTGCATGCTATAATTAAAATATTTCTCAGATAATAATGTATAGTTAAAAAAAATTATATTGGCAGGAGAATTTTTATAGTTGATTAATTTTTTACATAAAGCGAACCTTTACATATTTGATCTACAAATACATTTTTCTACAACAAAACGATTACTTTTGTTTTCAATTAAACACCCAAATTTTACAAAAATTCCTTCCCAAAAAAAATATTTTAGTTCTAAACAGAATTCATTAATTCGAATTCAATTCTGAATCTAATTCAATTCCGAATCCAATTCTGAATCCTTATTATTATCCATATTCATTAAAATTGAACCGCGTTTTTTACCTGAAGATCTACTTTGTTTATTAACAAAAAATTACCGTTACATAAATTTTGATATATGAGGCAAATGATAAACGTATTAACCCTTTTTATTGAAAAATTCGATAAATATGGAAGGTTACAGGCATCAAAACTATTAGCCAGAAATTTATTATATGTTAACGTGAATAATGCTAGAGAGCATTAATTCTTATTTCACAATATAATTATGTTTCCTCTCAAGTTCCTTCTAAGAGTCCTGGGAAACATATTTATACATCTAATATGTATTTTTCATAATTCGTATAAATATAAAAATCAAGATCAATAAAAATACATGTTATTTTTCTCCAGAGATATTCGAACGTAGTTATTGATTGTTAGAAATAATTTGACTACTAGGATTGTATTTGAGAGCCCTAATTTCGTTTGAATAAAACAACCTTACATTGAATTTGCATATTTTGAAAAAACAATCATTTCTACACACCAAATCATAAACCGATGATATTATTATTCATTAAATTGAATAAATTTTTATTAATTCAAAAATGTTTTTTTTGACTAGTCAAGTAATACAATACAACAACTTATAAAATTGATAAATAAAACTTTGAACTCGAAAATTTGCTAAATGTAATTCATTTATAGCACTTAATGTACAAGTTGAAAGACAGGACAAGAACACTGAAACATGAGAATATGCTATTACTATCATTCAAAAAATCAAAAATCAATATCAAAAGATAGTGTAATAATTGAAATCAAAGTCAAATTATATTAAAAACGAAAATTTTTACAGTCCTTCATTGAAATTTGCCATTATAACTCCTGTATTAATAATACTTTTTTATTTCGAATCATTGAATTGTTATTCACTTAATTTATAGCTATTAATAATAAAACCAGTATTCTATCCATATTCATTTATTTTATATAATTATTCTAAAAATTTATTTAAAAAATTATCAAAGTTAGATCATTTGAATAATGAGTTGAGGTGTATGGTTCTCTCATATTGAATTTGTCTAGAAGGTATGAATTGACCACTTCTTTTTTTGTAATCCTCTGCAAGTCTAGTTATTTGTTCCTGTGAATATAAAATTCATTATAATTTTGAATAAAAATTTTTAATATAAATTAACAAAGTAAAAAACAACCCATACTTCTAATGTCATAAAATGAACTAAAGAACTTTCAATTGCGGGTGTTGTTGGTCTATCAACAACCAATTTTGTATTGCCAATATATCCATGACTAAGGTTTCTGGCCGAAATTCTCTTTATTGGTAGCCGAAATTGCCGAAACACTTTGGGCAAAAATTACTTTTTTATAAGCCCAAATTGCCCAAACTAGTTTGGGCTATGAGAAAACAGTTTGGACCAGAAACCTTACCCATGACCGTTAAATACAATCAAATTGTAAGTCTGACTGTATTATGTCACCTAGATTATATTATTAATATTATAATATTAATACTAATTAATAATATATAAGGTCATCATAATATATATATATCCATATTAATTAATATTGCTGAAGAATCAGGGACACCCTTTGTATCTAATTAATTGTTTAGCAATTTTTTCCTCTGATATTTGCTTTAACAAAATCTTTTTTCGTTGCATAAGTGTATAACCCAATGGATTTATTTCAGAATTTAAGATGGGAATGTCATCTAGAACACAAGATATATCTGGTCTTTTTTTGGATCCAGACACCGAACGGTTTAGTATCTTTGAATTGTTTCATAAATATTGGTTTAATAAAGGGGCTTAAGTAATTGGTGAAATGTAAATTTTCTGTTATTTTTCTAGGTGCGACAGTTGGTACACTAGAACTAAAATATGTTAAAGAGTTAAAATAGAATTAATCCTCAATTTCATTTGCCAAAATACTGATAATGCATCAAGCATTGACCAACTCACAGCTCATTGAAGACTCTTGCAATTAATTTTTTTTTCATAGACCTGAAGAATCCATATAAATGTTTATCAAATACAAAGCCGTTTATAGATCCATTGAGCAATTGGGATAATTCTTATGGTATAATATTTGTATTTATTTTGTATGGATTTTGCTCCATAATTTTATGCCATTCTTCTGATGTAAACTATTCATATGCGTAAGGACAAGAATGACGACTAGTTGCAATCACCACCACCATTCTTATAATAGACTAGAGTGACAACGAGTGGCGATAACCTCCACCATTCTTATAATAACATTTACTCATTTGTTCTACCTCTATTGTTTTCTTTTTTTCGTTTTGATGATATTGAAGACATTTTTTATTTATTTTTTTGTTTTAAAAAAAAAGGTTAGAATTGATCTATATATACACAAAAAAAATTTTTTTATCTGTGTATGGGCTGTATAACCAACGTGATTGATTTTTTTTGTTGACACGATTGATTTTTTTTTTTTTTTTGAAAAACAATTTGACGAGAAGACGAAGCATAAATAAAGATCCGATCATTGGCTATTATCGTATCACAAAAATCAAGTGATGCACGCAACATTTCAATTTTTTATTAAATATATATTTTGAAATAATAATTCACTTGCAGAAAAGGAAAAACAGATGCCACCACTGGTTCCAAGGAGGGGAAAAGCAAAAAAAGAAAAGTTCAAAAATTGTTTTTGGTAAATTCCCAAAAACAATTTTATCAATTTTAGAAGTAGAAGCTGACAAAAAAGAGATAATCACCCTGATTTTGATGTCTTCATTGATGACAATAGTGCAAAAATTACTTCATGTAATGACAATTTACCATCAAATAAAACTTATGTTCTCCCTGATTACAAATATTTCTTGTCATGCCCAGCATTCTAATATTATTTATCATGTCAAAACCACTGTCAGTGATTTAAAAGATGAAGATTTTGTAAGCAGCAACAAAATATAAAAACAATACTTCAAAAAATAAAGAAAATTACAATGATAAATCCATTTGATCATGAATAGCAGGTACAACTTTAATTTTAGGTTTTTATAATTGCTATGATTTATGTTGTCAAAAGGACTAAAAAGAAAAAATAGATTGATAAATATTGTAGTAATAAGATTATTTTTCTTCCAAAGATTTCTGTCTTTTGTTGGGTAATAATACATCTTCATCCTCCTTTTCTTAATGTTTATGATTTTTCTTTCTTCTTGGTAAATTTCATAAGCAATCCTTTCTTTTCTTAGATAGGCTTCAAGTGTCTGAGTAATATTTATTTTGAAGATATAAGGAGTAATTTTTACACCTTGCTCCTTTTTCAAAATGCTTCAGATTGTGCTATAATTCTTTGGCTCCATAGTAGATCAGATATAATTGGCTTCATATTAATTATTTTTATATAGGGGCAATTCTATATATTGTGAATGTGTGTTCCAAGTTTACTAAATTACTTACACTTGTAGCCCACTAGTCCTACTAGTGACTTCAATTAATTCAGTTGGTATTTCCAAACCTGAAGCTAATTAGAGATTTTCCTTGTATACTAGCCTGCTGCTTTAGTCCAATATAGTCCGCAGAGTATATTCCTCTTATGCTCTATCTTTCCAACAGATCACAATCCGAAAGAATCTGAGGCTTTTCTAAAGCACTATGCTCAGACCACAATCTAGTAAAGTGACCCTTATATTGTCTCACAAGACCAATATAACTGAGGCTTTCCTTTATTTGATTAATTAAGCTAGCTAAAATTCACACTACTATTTACAACTATGTTGCTTGAGGTGTTCCACCAAGCAACACAGTCAGTAAAACTAAAGTGATCCCTAACTAATGATTAAAGGTTGGCCAAACCCCTTAGTAGAAAGGGTTATTGATCATACTAGTTTATTAATTAATTACAGTCAAAAACTATTTATGTGTAAAAGTATTATATTTATTATTATCAAGATTATTATTATGATCCAAAGGAAATGATAGATATTATTAGATTATATTGTCTCTCTAACCAGGTCAATTCCCAAGTGTATTTATACCTCTTGGGACATTACAAATAATGTGACCTTTACAATGTTTTGTCCAATAAATTATGCTTATTAATTATAAATTATGATTCACTCTGATTACTAATAACTAGTGACCAATGTTATGTAAATAAATACATCAGATTAATATTACAAAGTCATATGAGTAATGTGTAATTAATACAATATGTGGATTTTTTACAAATTTATGAGATCAATCAGATAGTAGTGTATGTAAATAATAAAAATCAACTTTAAAATATATTAATTAAAAAATTTTTCACATTAGCTAAAATAGTAAAAATATTTTTTGTGATTTTATTTTTTATCAATTATTTGAAACACTTCTAATTCATCATATTTACCATTTACTATATTAATGTTATTATAAGAAAAATTTGCATTTTGAACAACATGATTATTTGGTATAAAACCAAGATCAACAATACCAAAAAGAGCTGAATATGAAGTATCACAGTAAATTGCATAATCATAATCACTTATAACATAACTAAACTGTGCAGAATTAATATCATTTCTATTAATATTAAAAATAAAACTTTCAGTTGTATTTTTAATTACAGACTTTCCATTAATTAAATTCCAATTAAGTGGATTATAACCTCCTACTAATTGATCTGAATTCTGTATTTTGCCAACTACAAGAGTTTTA